CCAATAACGTTAACTTCTGTTTTGAATTCTTCATCAGTGTCGGATGATATTCGATCTAACTTCTTAACAGCAACATAAATTGAAGGACCTCCTCCGTTTACCATGCCCTTGTAAACTACACCAAAAGCTCCTCTTCCCAACTCTTCCTTGAATCCGTTTGTTGCCTCATTCAGCTCTTGGTAGCTGAAATAATGGACGTGATTATACTCGCTCAGTGCTTTCATCTGGCCCTTATTAGACTCTTTCAGTTTCTTATGATAAATGAAGTATAATCCAAAACCAATTGCGACTAAAAGAAGTAGGTTAACAGATACAGAGCCACCAAACAGAACTTTGATTGGAGTTGTCATTTTTCCTTTTGCTGTCGCTGTAACAAAAGGGTTGAGTGGGTCGTTGGACATGTTAACCTTCTCTACCTTTATCCAAAAATTCTGGTTGATTGTACTGTCTTTTCTTCCATTGAAAAGTGGTGCCTTCTTCTTCCAACAACCAGAATTATCGCCAGATAGCTGGAAAGAAGCAGCAGCACAGAAACAGTCTTTCAAACAAGAATACTTGCAATCTGCTTCGCTTCTAGAATCAACCCTTTCAAAATCATTGTAAATAAAATCAGTATTTTGAAGTTGTACTAAGCTATACTCACCCTTCATAGACCTGGCTGCATAATCTTCGCAATTCTCAAGCTTGAAATCAGGTTTACAACCACCATATTGAACATTTGGATCAATGAGCGAGTAGCCCTGTGCGCATGCACACACTGGTCTGTTATTATCACCTAGGTTGCAAATGTTGTTAGACCCACAAATTCCAACACCTAAATTTGGTGCTGCTAATCTTATACAAATGTTTTCAGGTGCTACTTGAAATCTAGGACGTTTTACCAAATTGAGCTTTAAACGGAAACTATTGACAAAAATGGTTGCGTGGCAAAACTATTTACCAAACTAAGCTTCCAGGGTAAATCGCTGTCTCGGACAGCGTTTTACCCCTGGTTTTTTTTTTTTTAAAAAAAAATTCAACTGGTAAACGCTGTCCCAGACAGCGTTTTACCTTCTGTATTTTTTTAAATTCAGTAGGGCATAAAACGCTGTCTCGGACAGCGTTTTATCCTTGGGTTTTTTTTAAAAAAAAATTCAATGGGTAAAACGCTGTCCGAGACAGCGTTTTATTCCCTGTTTTTTTTTTTTAATGAAACGCTGTCCGGGACAGCGTTTCATGGCCATATATCAGCATGTTCACTTCAGCAGAATGCGCAAGAACTCAACCTCAACCTCAACGCTTTCCCTCCTCCCTCTCACACTAAACCACGACCGTACTCAAACACCCGCATTGCCGCCGCCGCCCACCCTTGCGCCACCGCTGCTGCCGCCACCTTGCTGCTGCCCTCCTCCCTCTCACACTCACTCACTCAATTTCGTGGTTAGCCCTAAACTGAATTTAGTGTAATTGCATAGTTATTGTGGTTAATTATTGTGAATTGTATGTAATTGCTCTTACTTGTTGTTAATTCATGTCAATTGCATGTAATTGTTGCTAATTATTAATGAAAATGTGGTACATTGTTGATAATTATTGATGGTGATGTGGTACATTGTTATTGAAATTGTTCATGACATTGGTGAAGTTGATGATGGTGAAAATGTTGAAGTTGTTAATGGTTGAAATTGGTGAGAAGAGATGAAATTGTTGAAATTATTGAAATAGTTTAGGTTGAAATTGTTGAAATAATTCAAATTGTTCATGAAATTGTTGAAATTGGTGAAGTTGTTGAAAGTGAAGTTGTTATAGGTGAGAAGAGTCTTATTTCAGTGTTGATAATTTACCTCGCTCTAGATTTCGATAATCCTAAAATGTGTTTTGGTTATGTAGAATATGGCGTCACAAAATGTAGTTTTGTTATGCCGGTGGGGAGGAGAAATTCTGTTTGATGGACCCCGGGTCGAGTATAGTGGGGGAAATATGGAACCACTAACACTAGAACCGAACATGACTATGAATGATTTGATGAATGAGGTTCATAGTAGTATTGGTTCAGACCCGATGACCGTTGACGTACACATTAAAATGAGGTTTGAGACCGGCAATGGAGTACATTGTTCAAATTCCGTTCACCATGTGGTCCCTCTTTCACGACGCTGGACGTAGATACGGGATTTGCACTACTAACTTCTCTGAGACATTCAACAACGTGTTGAAGGGAGCACGGTTTCTACCGATCATGTCCCTAGTTGAGTTAACTTTTCATAGAGTTAACAAATATTTCACTTTGAGAAGGGAGTCTTCTGAGGCAAGATTTGAACAGGGACTTGCATACCCCCCAAGGTCACTGCCATTCTAGAGAAGAACACCGCAAAAGCCAGATATCACAGAGTGGATGCGTATAACCGTCGATTGCATATTTACCAAGTTACAACAGAAAGGGGAGACCGACTTGGTAGTAAAGGAGGCCATAAACATACTGTTAACTTTCAGTTAAGAACGTGTACCTGCAACAAACCTACGATATTTCACCTCCCATGTTCTCACGTTCTAGCCGTATGTGCAACGTACTCACTATCAGAGCGGCCGTGGGTTGACCCGGTGCTGCAATCGGAGGCATACACGAGCACATACGCGCCGCAATTCTGGCCAATCCCTTGCGAGACAACCTGGACGCCCTATAACGGTCCCAGAATCATTCCCGACGGGAGCATGTTGCGTGGAATAGGGCGACCAAGGTCAAAGCGCATACGTAATGAAATGGATGAGACTAACCGGCCCGCGAGCAAATGTAGTCGTTGTCACGTTCAGGGCCATAACCGGGCAACGTGTCCATCGAGACCCTCAGAGGACCCATGACTGTTAACTGAAATTCGTTGTAATCGTAGATGGAGGAATTATTTTGTAATAGAAAATTTTGATTTAATAACATTTGGAACATTTTGATTTAATAACATTTGGAACATTTGATCGTTAACATTTTGGTTAATTGCTAATGCGTTAACTCTGTTGGGATTTGTTAAATTGCATGTGAACAGATACGATGGACGGTAGGGCTGTGGAGCTGGCTGTTGTGGTGGCTGTTGGAGGACTGCAGCATGCAAGCTGTTTGCTGAAGCTTGTTTTCTGCCTGGATGCTGGTTGCTGTTTCCAGCAGAAAAGCGCTGTCTGAGACAGCGCTTTATGTTCAAGCATAACGCGCTGTCTGAGACAGCGTTTTATGTTCAAGCATAAAGCGCTGTCTGAGACAGCGCTTTATGTTGAACATATAAAATAGTTGTAGTTGAATTTTTTTTTAAAAAAAAACCCAAGGATAAAACGCTGTCCGAGACAGCGTTTTATGCCCTACTGAATTTAAAAAAATACAGAAGGTAAAACGCTGTCCGAGACAGCGATTTACCCTGGTAGCTTAGTTTGGTAAATAGTTTTGCCACGCTACCATTTTTGTCAATAGTTTCCGTTTAAAGCTCAATTTGGTAAAACGTTCTGAAATCTAAACCATCCGTCACTAATTGAAGTTTTTGAGGCAGAGTACCATATTAAAATCCCATCAGAGCTCAAGATTAATCTCTGATATTGATCTTGTGATGGTGTGTAACCATCTGGTAACATATTATACATCGATCCATCTTTTCTTAATATGTACATATACCCGGTCTCATTGTACACATATCTTTGAGTCTGACCTGGATTTGCTGGGTCACTTATATGATAAGCACTATAGATGTAGCCGGTACTTAGATCCCTGGTATTGAGAGCCATGTTTCCATCCGAGGTTAGATGGTATTGGAACCTTCCCATCGTATAATTAGTTTCTGATAATCGTGAATTAATCATCCCATCAATTCCCAAAGACTGACCAGGCAGCAAGGTGTCTGTAGGATGATCAAAGCTCTGCCAAACTGTAACGTTGTTGCTGTTTCTTTTGAGTGCAAAATTCCCCGTATCATTCATGAAACCAAAACTCACACTACCACCACCGCCTATTAACTCACTAGTGGTGCTCCATAAGTTGGTTCCTTGAGGGTCAGTGAGAACTAAGCCCTCATTAGCAGTTATCTTTACTGATGAACCTTGGGGAACCGGATTACCATCATTTGCATGCCAAACAATGGTGTCCGGAAAATTGGCATACCATATGGCAAGCAAGAAGAGATTGCCTGTGATAGGAAGTTGATGAAAGCCGAAAGCAAAATCTCCCGAAGGGGAAAGCCATGAAGAGCCATTGATGTTGGCTGTGAGAGATTGGCCAACCGAGATATTACCACTATTTTGGGCTGCAACAGGTGAGGGTGTTGATTGAAGGAGTATTAGTGTTAACAAGGAGAGGGTACAAGAAAGAGGCCACGCCATTGCAATTTTTTTTACAAAAGGGATGGGACTATAGTAGTTGAAATACTTGCATTTTTAAAGTAGAATCATCAATTGGTTCAAAAATTCAACTAAGTTAATGTACTGACAAAATAATCTGTTTATGACTAATTTTAAAAATTGTTTAAGCCATCGTTAGTTTGAACACGAGTTGATATAATAATTTGAATACCCTTGTTATGTCTAGATGAAGTAACCGTGAATGAGCATGCATTTAATTTGTTTCTTTAACTCAACTTGTTTGGTATAAAATTGAAAACATTTGCTTTCTAGTACCTTATTTTATCTCCTGGTCTATTTAATCAGAAGTTGACCGGAAAGTTCATACAAAACTATAGTATCATTAGGGATCTTGATTTACCCTCACCAACCCACCATGGCGTACGGAAAATTAAAGATTATACAACTTGTGGCACGGCTGCTAAGACCAAACAGCATAAATAAAATAAGAAAAATGCAACTTGTGTCGCGTCTCTTGACTAAGGACTCCTTGCAATCATTTTTATTTGTGTGTTGCATCCACATTAAGCAGGAAGAAAACTGTAGAACAGAGGGAGTTGTCAATAATATTAATACACATATTATTAGTTTTTCAATATGTGACATATAATGTGTATGCATGCTGACCTTGATAATTTCCTTTGATTCAGATAATGTTAATGCTGAGACGACCAGGATGTATTGTTTTCCATATGAAGCAAAGATCAGTTTCAATACCTTGGTAATTCCTCAGAACGAAGAACCTCATGCCAGTACATTTCCATAGACAAATTCTGTGATTTGTAAGTCTAACAGAATTACATTTCTTTCATGATTTACTTCGTGTTTTGATCACAGTTATGATCCAAAAATATACAGTACAGGTTATGAACTTATGAAAACATAGTAAGAATGCATCATTGGTTTATTATTGTCATATTTCCTTTTAATTGCTATGGACTTACAGGGTAGATAAATTAATTGTTGTTGCTTGAATGATCAGTTGTTAAAAGACTCTTTAATGTCTGAAGTCAATAGCATTAGAAATCTCCTTAAATTATTTTTATATATATCATTTTTTGGAGCAAAGAGTCAAGAGTTATTCATTAATTTTATAGGACAACTTGTGTTTAAGTACATACGTTACATGACAATTTTACATGTTTGTGTATTTGTAGAAATTCTTAACTTGCTAAATTCTACTATGCCTAGTTTAGTTCACTCATTCCTGATAATTTTTGTGAAAGATATTCAAGCTTAGCTTGTTTGATTAAGTTATTTTTGAGGATATGTACATTTGTACACACAAATCATCCTACTGGAATGGCAAAATAATCCATGCCTGTGGATATTATACACTACCTCCGGTTTGTATTATATGTAACTTTGATGTATTATTTGTGAGACATAAAAAATTCCAAAGTTGCATATAATTCAAAACTAAGCTAGTATTATTATTGACTGCAAAACTAAATTCATAGATAGATTATTTGTGCTGGAAGTCGGCAGCTAAATACACTGCGAAATTATGAGATACAATATGAAAATATACTAAGCTACATGTTTTAAGTCAACAAGCTTAACTTTGGGTGGTAACTGAAAATGAGGTTGGACAAGGAGGGTTATTAGGCACTTCAGCAAGCCCATCTAGCATCCGTGTGACTGTTTGCATTGTTGGTCGTCGGCTTGGGTCTTCTTGGATACACCAAAGGGCTACCGTTACAAATCTCCTTAATTGAGCTATGTCTGTTAGAGCCTCCATGTCATCATTAACAAGTGAATCAAATCTGTTAGACTGATAGCAGTCAAATGCCCAATCTGTCAAAATGGCTGCTTGCTCTTCAATGAGTTCCATGCACACACTTTTTCGACAACATATGATCTCCAACAAGAGAACCCCAAAGCTATAGACGTCTACCTTTGCTGTGACTGGCTTGTTTCTAAACCATTCGGGAGCAACATAGCCCTTGGTCCCTCTAATTCCCGTGTTTGTATGTGTTTGGTTCAGAACCAAAAGCTTTGCCAAACCAAAATCAGAAATACGGGCTTGCTTATAATCATCTAGTAGGATATTTTGAGGCTTTATATCACAATGAATGATCTGTCTGCTGCACTCCTCATGCAAATACAAGAGCCCTTTTGCAATATCATGAGCAATTTGAATCCTCGCAGCCCAGTTTGGCCTTAAATCACCGAAAAGATAATCTGCTACAGTGCCATTGCTCATGTATTCATACACCAATAACCGCTGATCATCTTCCTTGCAGAATCCTATAAATCCAACTAAATTCTTGTGATGAGTCTGGCCTATTACATTTACTTCAGTTTCAAACTCCTTATCAGCATCCTTAGATATACGATCTAACTTCTTCACAGCAACAAAAATAGGGGGAACTCTCTGTCCAATCTTTCCCTTGTACACTATACCGAAAGCCCCTCTCCCAATCTCTTCCTTGAACCCATCAGTTGCTTGTTCAAGCTCCTTGTATCTGAAGCAGCGGACACTGCTATACTCACTGAAAGTTTTACTCTGATGCTCTTTAAGGCATGTAGAATGACTTTTGTTATACATGATGAAAGCTCCCAAAATAGTTGCACTTATCAGAAGGAAATTAACACCTACCGATGTACCCAACATGGCTATGACTACATGATTCTTCTTATTTATCACTGTAGGATTGTCAGAACTATTACCATTCCATACCTTAAGAAAAGTTATCCCTGTTACCGCGGTGTCTTCCATTCCATTGGAGAGTGGCAGCTTCTTCTTCCAACATGTGGATGCATGTTCATTGAAAATGGCAGCAGCGCAGAAGCAGTCATTGAGACATGAGCTTCTGCAAACCTCTTTACTGACAGTTTGAAGACGTGCATAATCACCAAATGGCCAATTAGTGTTTTTAAGCTCATGTAGCTCATATTTATCTTTGGCAGCACTCTGGCCTTGTGCTTCACAAACACTTTGCTTGAAATTTGGTACACAATTTCCATATGTATCATTAGGGTCTTGTAGAGAATAACCCTGTGGGCAATTACATGTTGGCCTGTTGTTATTTCCAAGTCTGCAAATGCTATTAAACCCACAAATTCCGCTGCCTAACTCTGGTTCAGGTGATCCTGTTGTTATACATATGTTGTCTGGTGTCGTCTGCACCATGTTCCAATCATTGGTAATGGGAGTTTTTGAGACAGAATACCATGTTAAAACCCCATCAAAGCCTAAAGTCGCCCTCTGATAATAATCATTTTGTGCGACTGTCTTACCTGGTGGTAAGAGATCGTACCTTGAGCCATCCTTTTTTAATATATACATATACCCTGACTTGTTATAGATCAATCTCTGGCCTGAATTATTAGCATTTGCTTGGCCATTAGTGCCACTAGTATAGTAAGCACCATAGGCATAGTCGGTTGTCAGATCTCTAGTATTGAGAACGAGGTTTCCATCAGAAATTAATCGTAACTGGAACCTCCCCTGTCTAAAATTAGTATCAGATAGCCTAGAGTTAACCACTCCATTTATTTCCATTGACTGAGTAGGCAGCAAGGTATCTGTAGGATGATCAAAGCTCTGCCAAACTGCATCAGTAGTGCTGCTATTTTTCAGCACAAAATTCCCTGTGTCATTCAGAAAACCATGATTAACAGCTCCACCACTTAATTCATCAGTGGTATTCCATAGAGGAACTCCATGAGGGTCACTAAGAATTAGACCCTCATTAGCAGTTATTTTTACTGATGATCCCGAGGTAACGAGGTTACCTTTATATCCATACCAAACTATGGTATCAGGGATCTTAGCATACCAGATAGCGAGCAAGAAGAGATTGCTGTTATCAGGAATTTGATGAAAGCCGAAGGCAAAATCGCCTGAAGGGGAAAGCAATGAAGTACCATTGCTGGTGGCTATGATAGATTGGCCAACTGTTATGTTGGCATTATTTTGGGCAGCAATAGGTGATGATTGTAGGAGTATAAGTGCTAATATGGAGATGGTACAAGAAAACATCCAGGCCATCAGATCATTCAGACTAGCAGAATGATCAAATTAGAGGGATTTTGGTTATTACAAAGTTACAAGGAAAATATTTATCACCCAAAGTTCTTAAAAGGAAAATATTACCCAAAGTTCTTAAATTAGAAAAGTTTATTGAACCAGTCTTAGTTTTTAACCTTGACACTGGGTCAAACCAATCACTTGATTGAATAGTCAAAGGGGGGACTCAATTTTCAAAGCATTGTCTTTATCAAGCACTAAATTTATAAAAAAGTCACCTTCAAGTAGGTTGAGAAGATAGAAGAAATTACTTGTAAATTTCTCATGCTGACTAAATTGCTGTCATTTTGTTGAGCCTTAATTTTATCAAATCTATACAGGCTCTGGTTGTGCCTTATTTGGTTTGGATAACATACCATTAAGCTAGTTTGTTATTGTAGAGTTAAATAAGTAAATTGCTAGTATAATCTTGTTATGTGACCGAGGTTGTAGTAGTATTTTGTACTTTATACAAGATTAATACACGGTACACAAAGGTGTAAGAGATTAAGAGGTTACCATATTGGTCATAGTCACTTTGCTAAATTAGCCTGTAGGCCTAATCAATGACGTGTGCGAATAGACCAAAATCATAGGTCAAAAATCTAAGAGACCCAAAAGTAATCAATGATTCATATTAAAAAAAAAAAAAAAAAAAAAAAAAAAAAAAAAAAAAAAAAAGTCTTGAAACAAAGTTAACAAGTTACAATCTGCCATAGCAGTAAATGTTGCAGATACAGAACAATGTTCCAAATGGCTCTGGTACTACATGCCTATGAAACATAATTCATTATTACACAACAAAACTTAAATTCAGAGATTGACCACTGAAGTAAGTAAAACAAAATGAAATTGACCTGAAAATGTAGTTTATCCGGCCTCTTCAGTTTTGAGTAATAACTGAAAATGAGGTTGGACAAGGAGGGTTCTTAGGCACTTCAACAAGTCCGTCTAGCATTTGTGTGACTGCTCGCATTGTTGGTCGTAGACTTGGATCTTCCTGGATACACCAAAGAGCTATCATTACCAACCTCTTCAATCGTATGATATCATTAAGAGCTTCCATGTCATCATTAACAAGTGAATCAAATCTGTTAGAAAGAAAGCAATCAAATGCCCAATCTGTCAAAATTGCAGCTTCCTCTTCAACAAGTTCCATGCATACACTCTTTCGACAACAAATGATCTCTAATAACAGAACCCCAAAGCTATAGACATCTACTTTCACAGTCACTGGCTTGTTTCTGAACCATTCTGGAGCAACATAGCCTTTAGTCCCTCTAATTGCTGTGTTTGTATGGGTTTGGTTTAGTATCAAAAGTTTTGCTAACCCAAAATCAGAAATTCGAGCATTCTGATATTCATCTAGCAGGATGTTCTGAGGCTTTATATCACAATGGATGATCGGTCTGCTGCACTCCTCGTGCAAATACAAGAGCCCTTCTGCAGTATTTTGAGCAATTTGAACCCTTGCAGTCCAGCTTGGCCTTACATCACCGAATAGATAATCTGCCACAGTACCATTGCTCATGTATTCATACACCAATAATCGCTGATCTTCTTCCTTGCAGAATCCTATAAATCAAACTAAATTCTTGTGATGAGTCTGGCCTATCACATTTAATTCAGCTTCAAACTCCTTATCAGCATCCTTAGATATCCGATCTAACTTTTTAACAGAAACACAAATTGAACCTCCTCCATTGATCATCAAGCCCTTGTATACTACTCCAAAAGCCCCTCTTCCCAATTCTTCCCTGAAACCATTTGTCGCCTCTGTGAGCTCTTGGTAGCTGAAACAATGGACGATGCTGCAATACTTTCTCATTGTTTTTCTCTGAACCTCATTAGATACTTTCAGTTTCCTCTTATGATAGATGAAAATTCCAAAACCAACGGCACTTAATAAAAGAATATTAACTGATCCAAATCCCCCAATCAGAGCCTTAGTTAGAGAATTCACCTTGTTTTTTGCAGGTGAAGGGGAGAAGGAAACAGAAGTGTTGAATAGGTTATTGGAAGTACTAACATTTCCTACCTTTATCCAAGCTTTCCCGATTACTGTTCTATCCCTTCTTCCGTTGGATAGTGGTGCTTTCTTCTTCCAACAACCTGCAGGATTATTTATATCACCGTACATGGCAGCAGCACAAAAGCAGTCTTTCTGACAAGAATTCCTACAGTCTTCTTCGCTGCAAGGATCAAGCCTTTGATAATCATTCCATGGCCAATCAGTATTTGCAAGGTGTAACATGCTGTACTCACCCTTCATGGATCTATCGGCATTGCTTCCTCCACAGCTATCTATTGTGAAATCGGGTTTACAGCTGCCAAACTCATCATGAGGATCAAGGAATGAGTAACCATTTGGGCAGGTACATGTTGGTCTTCTATCAAGACTATCATCATCGAGGCTGCAAATGCTGTTGAACCCACAAATTCCACTGCTTATATCTGGTCTGAAATCTAGATAGATTGTACAAATGTTTTCTGGTAATGCGTGTATCACTGACCATCTTCCGCTGATAGACGTTTTTGGAATAGAATACCATGTTAGCACTCCATAAAAGTTCAAAGTTGCTCTCTGATACTTATCTTTTGTTGACTGCACCTTATATGGCGGTAACAGATCTTGCCTAGACCCATTATTTCTCAAGATAAACATATACCCGGAAGCATTGTAGACCAATCTCTGACCCTAAATCCCCGAGTTATAGTAAGCACCATAGCCAAATCCAGTTGTTAGATCCCTGGAATTGAGAATAAGGTTTCCACGAATGTCATCACGTAATTCAAAATTTAGCTGGAACCTCCCCTTTGTGAAATTAGTTTCTGATAGTTTCAAGTAAACTACCCCGTCTATTTCCATAGACTGAGTAGGCAGCAAGGTATCTGTAGGATGGTCAAAGCTTTGCCAAACTACATCATCATCACTGCTACTTCTTTTGAGTACGAAATTCCCGGTATCATACAGAAAGCCATAGCTTACCTCATTACCATCACTTAATTCATCAGAGGTGTTCCATAAGCTGATCCCTTCAGGGTTGCTGAGAACTAGGCCCGCGGTAGCAGTTATTCTGACTGATGATCCTTGGGGAACAGGAATACCATCATTTGCATGCCAAACTATTGTGATGGGAATAATCTTGGCATACCAGATAGCAAGCAAGAAGAGTTTGCTGCTATTAGAATATTTGGTAAAGCCGAAAGCAAAACTGTTTAAAGGAGAAAGCCATGAAGAATCATTCACAGTGGCAGTGAGAGATCGGCATACTGGTATACTGCTTGTATTTTTGGCCGAAATGAGTGGTGTTTGTAATAAGATTATTAGTGTTAACAAGTAAAGGGTGTTGGAAGGAGGCCAGGCCATTGCTTGCAAAATTATTTGGAGCAAAGATACATGAATTTTGGTTCTTTTAGTTACTTAGAAATGTACTGTCTATTCTAACATTCATACTGATTTAATCCAATCACGTGACAGAATAGTTATTGACAGGCTTAATTTAGGATAATTTTCAAATGGCTAGAATTAAATTGTAGCCACTATATTAAATAATATCATAACCATCTATTTTTTATTGACTAAATATGAACAGTTGATATGGTCAACTTTTAAATTTACAAAAAAAATTGGTTTAACATCTCTTGATTTAGAGTAGTTATTTTTTGGTTTTTCTCCTCAATCTTGTTTGAGTTCTCTGAAGAAGGAAATGGAGAGTAGGATTTCTCACAAAATTCATTCTGCAAATTCTTTACTAACTAGTTTGTATACAAATTATGGAAAGAATATTTGAAATCTATCTATAATACATACACCTGCGACCTGCATAGTAGTTTTCATCATAATTATTGGGGAACTGAAAGTTTTAGCCTTAATTGATCTGGGATTTCAATTTTTTGTTAATACTGGAAAAATCTGGTCTCATCATTAAACCCATGCTTTTTATCTTATTGGATGATGTCAAATAATTGGTTTCTTGTAATTAGAGACAAATCTTGCTATTGAATAATCTTCCTGGCTTGGAAACTTTAATCTTTGTAATTAAGTAGCTGGAATCATGGAAGAAATTACATGTTAATATATCATGGTACTGTCATTTAGTTTGGCTTTTTTTTTATCACTTCATAATTAGGTTCTACCTGTGTCAGGTATCAGGTTCAACTCAAAGGCCATGCTTTACCCTCCTCCTTTAATGACCGAGCACTTGTGATTCAAATTATAATTGTTCTTGATGCTCTTGTTAAAAAGATGCAAGCTATGTTAAAAAGAAAAATAATGCAAGGTACGTATCACGAGTCTTTCATTTCGTTTAAATTTTTGTTATGTTATTAAACTTGTAATGTGACATTCCTTAAAAAATAAAAAAAAAAAAAAAAAAACTTGTAATGTGACAACCACTATCAAAAGGAGTAAAAGTTGTGCTAATATTCTTCGATCTTTATTTCATGGCATAAAATGTTGTATTATTTTGTGATAATACATAAGTTCACTCTTTTTAGGCAGATGGTTGAAAGTTTATATGTGTGTGTTTTTTTTTCGGGACAATTACTATGCATAGCCCTTAAGCATTAAAAAACACTCTTAGAAATTGTACAAAATTAGGAATTCATAACAAAAACACGTGTTGATCAATGTAATTAGTGTGAATTTGTCATGATTTTTAACATTTAAACAGTTTTCAAGAGTATTTTTAATGCTTATATAGTTATATGTATTTTTTTTTATTTTTTTTTTATTTTTTTTGAGGAAAGCTTATATGTAGTTTTAAAGGCTATGCATGTCATTTTCCTCTTCTTTTTTTATTTTTATTTTTATTTTTTTAATATTTAAATGTAAAAAAAGAATTATGTTCTTTGTGGCCCAATTTTTTTATCCAGTAACAACCCCGCAGTAAATGTCCAGCCCATTGACACATTTTAGCCCATGACGCATCTGGTTCTTTGTTTGGTTTCGATTCAGTCTTTCGGCCCAAAACTCCAACCCAAGCTTTTCATCACTCATCAGTCACCACCAACTTGGTTAACTACTTTTTTTTTTTTTTTTTTGAATGAAAGAAGGTTAACTGCCAATTTTGTTACTAATAATCATAATTTATTGTTATTTTTTATTCTACATTTAAATACATTATGTGGATAAATAGAGTATAAATTATTGCTAATTAAGTTAACAAAGTTTGTGATATTCATTCTATGAAGGTTAGGGTTCAACCCTCTATCTATGCATATTTCAGTCAACATTGCCATGAATTATTGAATTGTGATATGATATGATGTCATAGGTTATTGAATGGTGACGTCATAACTTTAAAAAAAAATCAACCAAACAATTAAATTTAAGAGAGAAATAAAAGTAATGACAATGGAGAGGGAAGAGGAGACGGTAATGCAACCAATGTGTGATTTTTGTCATCAAAAATACTACCTTCGTTACAGATTATGTGCAACGATTTGACATAAAACAGAGAGGGAAAATGTCTAATCGTTGCACATAACCTGTAACGGAGGTAGTATTAATCTACTATTATTGAAGAACAAAGATTGTATGTGTCAATTAAACAATAAAAGTTAAGAAATTTTGTAGTACTTCGTATTTTGTGAATATTCTTTTATTGTGATTTGCATAATTGAGTAGACATACGTCACATACTCTTTTTTTTTTTTGACGAGATACGTCACATACTCGTATCAGATTCTTTACGGAATTACGATGGTGTATTTTCAGCATCATAAAAATAGCAACATATATAGTGACAGAACAGAAATAAATATAAACTCTTAGATCCATTTTTTATGGTAGAAGAAGTAATACGAGTAGACTCTTAAATTCACTCTGTAGTCTCTACATTATATGTCACCAAATTACACACCCTTGATTAGAGAAAGAGCCAAAAACTCTCGTAAACCACCAACAAAATTCCTTAAAACCCAACAATTTCTCTTACTAAAAATTTTAAGAAAATGAAGATTCTTCCATATTTAGCTCTCCCCCTTTTCCTTACTCTGTTCCTACTTAAAAGCTCAGGCTTTGCTATTGCTACTGCTAGTATTAATTACACTAATATTGACACCAATTACGGGATTAGCTGCCTTAATCGTACCCATTTTCCTCTGGGTTTTCTTTTTGGTTCAGCTTCTTCTGCTTATCAGGTAATTAATTACCCAACATTATTGCTAATTTAGTGTTTAATTTTAAAGATTATTACTTTGCTTTTGATTATGATCCTGGGATAATTAAACTTTAAATCATTAAATAACGACGTTGTTGATTAAATGTTAAAGTTGGTTTAGTATGAATTATCATAATGGGTTCTTCATATTCATAATTGAAAGGGTAATTGAAGAAAAATGTGGATTTTTTTTTCTTTGTATAATTGTATTTGATCAGAATATATAATTTGTAAATGGGTGTTCTTAGAACAAGTAACGATTTTCCTATTAATATATTTATTTTTAATATTGTAGAATTATGAGTTTATGTGATTTTGGTGCAGTTTGAAGGAGGAGCTGAAGAAGATGGAAAAGGTCCGAGTATATGGGATACTTACACCCACAAATTCCCTGGTGAGGTTAATTTTTATTTTTTTTCCTTACAATGTTATATCAATTTGGTTTATTTTAATGAAATAAAGACTATTTGTTACATAATGTACTTATATAAGGAGTCATGAAAGTAGGGTGGTGATGTAGATGAGATTCGATTCGAGTATGGTGTAATGTATATGAGGCGTTCGTTAAAAGGTTTTTGGTGATAATTTGTGCAGATAAAATAGCGGACGGTAAGAATGGGGATAAGGCAGTTGATTCATACCATCGTTATAAGGTGTGAAATAAAACTACTTGTACATCACAATGTTAATGTGACTATTTTTTTGGAATGCACAATTCATGTTGTGTAGTTATAGAATATTAGAATGTAAACTACTTTTCATGGATCTGAATTTGGAATTCAAACTGTTACCCTTATTCGTTGTACTTCAGCATGTTTACGAATATTATGCACTTTGTTAAACACTTGAACTGATATTGTCTTACTTAGATGTGTAGTTAGTTGGTCATAGAATCAAGAGATGCTCTTAGTTTGTTTGGAGCATTGTCTTGATTTGGGAGGTTGAGGGTTGGATTCTTATCTAACTTTTGCGTCCTTTTTTCAAACCCCAAGAAAACAGAAACTTTGTTTGAAAATGGTTATAACTCAACTTATTGATTTTGTAGGAAGATGTGAAGATCATGAAGGAAATGGGACTGAGTGCTTACCGGTTCTCAATTTCATGGCCCAGAGTATTGCCTTGTATGTCATTATATGCATGTATGCTTTGAATCATGACATTATTAACCTGAATTTGGATTGCAATAAAGGCTGTAATTACTGTAAATAGTTGTAAATTAAGGCTGGAAAATTATCATAGATTCATAGTTGTCTGGAAACATTCTAGTTATGACATTTTAGTCTCAATCATTGTGTATAGATGAATGTAGAAGGTAAAAGGGTAGAAGGGCTAAAGGCATGCTTTTGGTGGATTTTATCTGCATTTGTTTGTAAAAATTCCTGGCATCATATTTTGCCTCATATAGAAAATAAGCCCCAATAGCTTGTTCTCTAATGTTTTTCTTTTCTAGATAAGTCATACAACACTTATAGGACTATTTAAAGCTCTAGGTCCATCTAATAACCTACTTTGTCACTTAATCTTTTGGATTGACACATCCTTATATTAGTTAAGTGATATGTGAAATCTGTTTTTTATTTTCCCGTTAATTTCTCAAATTGACATTGATCATCTTTGGAACTTTTGAAATTTTCAGATGGAAAAGTAAGCAAGGGTGTGAACCGGAAAGGAATAGCTTATTACCACAACCTTATCAATGAACTCTTGGCAAATGGTTAGATTTCGTCACACTCATGGCTATCCCTTTTTGTGCTCTATTATCTGCATCGTTGTGACTGTTCTGTTGCTACATAATGGCAGATATACAACCATTCATCACTCTTTTCCATTGGGATCTTCCTCAGTCATTACAAGATGAATATGGTGGCTTTCTTAGCCCTCACATAGTGTAAGTTGTTTACTTTGTAGAAGTCATCACGATGTTTCATAGTAATTACCATTAGTCAAGCACAATGAAAACATGGTATTCTAAAGCTTACTCATATATATGTATTACTTACTTTAGCCTTTTTCACTTGCTGCTGAATAGTTGGTGTTTTGGAACCATATTAAAGTTGAAGTACGTAAAACCAATCTCAAATTTCTCTTGCATCTTCAAGACAAACATTAATCTCTTTGACTTGGGGCATTTCTTCAAGATATATAGGTGACATCTAATAATTTTCTTTTGATGTATACCTGATGTATTACCTATTATTTCACTGTACAGGGATGATTTTCGTGACTATGCAGACTTTTGTTATAGAGAATTTGGTAACAAGGTGAAGCATTGGATTACACTTAATGAGCCATGGACCTATAGTACAGGCATTTACACAACTGGAATCTTTTCATCCAAGCAGTGCTCTAAATCAAACCCCCAGAATTGCAAAGTCAATATGGCCACTGACCCTTATGAAATCGCGCATTACCAGCTTCTTGCTCATGGTGCAGCAGTTCAAATTTATAGACAGAAATATCAGGTCTTATTTCATCTATCCTAACTTTTCTAATATTTGTATATGTTGGCATTTAATTTATAAACCTTTACCTCTGACATGTGTAAGGTATGTGGTAACAAAATTGATGTATTACATGTATCTGATTAGATACTGTTAAAGTGACTGTATTGGAAGAAAACTGAACTAATGTAAGTTTTTAACTTTTTTTGCATACCCACAGGCATCTCAGAAAGGTGTAATTGGCATTGCTATTAATTCAGATTGGTTCATTCCATATTCTCAAGCAAAGCAAGACCGGAGCTCTGCACTTAGAGCTGTTGACTTTATGTTTGGATGGTCAGTATATAACCTATCATATAACTAATATATAAAGCTAAACTTTTAGCCAGGTCACGAGGCAGCGACACTTGACATTCTAACTTTTCGCCAAGTGTCGCGCCACGTTGGATAGATTTAAATACACTTCATAAGATAAAAAAGTTAGTTTAGAATTCTATTATGAATCAAATTTGGATAGAATTTTAGGATAAAATTGTTAATTTAGAGTTTTATTTTTGATAAAGTACCAATATTTCATATGTACAAATTGAATTATAATTTTATTCAAAAAATAATTAGATTATAACTCTCATAAATTATCATATAAATTTATTTTTTGTATCATTATATTTTTTAGAGCGAAGGAATTAGTTCAAAATGTACCACATCCATGGGTTATAATATATTCTAATCAATTAAAATAATATACTTCACAATCTAATATAATTTTATTATTGTGTGTAGACCTTTTAATCAGGTCGGGTTACGAGTCATTTCAGACAGGGTCAAGAAATGTTTTTCACCAATATTATTATTATTAGTCATTACATGCCTACAAGTTTAAATCGTTACAAAAATACGTCAATTGCTAACTAATTTTGTATCAATGATATATTTTAAAATTTGACATATAGATTAAAATATATCTTAAAATTTAATAACAACCCGGGCATCGCACGGGCACAAAACTAGTTGACAAATAAACTCATAATCTAGTTTCAGAGCTTAAAGTTGAATGATTTAAGAAATCTAAGGTCCTTAATGGCATATTATTGACTCCTAACTAAATTTATTGCTTCTTATAGGTATATGGACCCTATAACACATGGTGACTACCCACACACAATGCGCTTTCTTGTGGGAAGTCGCTTGCCTAAATTTTCAAGAGAACAGTCTCGCATGTTAAAGGGTTCATTTGATTTCATTGGCTTGAATTATTACACTAGCAGCTATGCCGCATATGCTCCTAGTTTTAGGAATACAGAGCCCAGTTATAGTACTGATTCTCTTGTTAATATGACATGTAAGTCCATCATAGAAGTTTAATATTTCTTATTTGAGACTTAGCATAAGATCAATAGAGCCCGATAGTGATTCCACTTTTTATTTACAGTTGAGCGTAATGGAATACCAATTGGTCCAAAGGTATGTGAATGATTAGCATAATCTTAGGAATCCATCTGAAATCTCACTGACTTCTTATAGACAAGTTATTTTCACTATGGTTTTTCATGTCAAAATTATTTTCTCAGCAGGACTACTGTCCTTTGTTTTACTGTATGCAATGGAACTGATACAAACAATTTAAATTTGGTGTGTACTAACTCTTTTGCAGGCTGCTTCAGATTGGCTTCATATTTATCCAAGAGGGATTTTTGATCTTCTACTCTATATCAAGCGAAGATATAAAAATCCAATCATTTACATCACAGAAAATGGTGAGTCCCATTTTGTTTAGTATCTTTCTAATTCAGTCTGTTGTCCTGTGTATTTGGTTTAGAGTGGACAGAGGGTGATTCATTGCCAGATTCAGGCAGTACCTTTTTCTAATTAGACAACTTGACATTTTTCTTGGAATCTTTGTTCTTAACTTATCCTTTTTACGTTCTCTTTTCCATTTTTGAGCTGACCCTAGTTATGCATAAATCATAATAAAATGTGAAATATACTGATTGTGCATTTGTGCTTTGTAGGTTGTGATGAGTCAAATGATCCTAGATTGTCTCTTGAGGAAGCTTTAACTGACAGCATGAGGATACATTACTACCATGGTCACCTAGCCTTTGTGAAACTTGCTATGAGGTTAGTTAATTAGGTTTTTTTTTTTTGTGTGTGTGTGTGTGGGGGGGGGGGGGGGGGGGGCGTGCGTGCGTGCGTGCTTGCGTGCGGGCGGGCGGGTGGGTGTGTGGGTGTGGGTGTGTGGGTTTCTTATCTGTCATCTAGACTTGGTGAAACCTATAAAAAATGTGTAATAACCCTTGTCCTTACTTGGTCCTTCTCTCTTATGCAAAAGAAAAAACTTGATAAACAGGGTGGCAGGGAAGCTTCAGGAGTCAAAATTTGCGAAAGCTAAAAGAATAATATTATCTTAAGGAGGAGATTGACAATAATTTAAGGGAAAATTGAACAAATTTACTTCCACATATATAAAGTATAAAGTGCAAATTGTTATCTATTGGATTATTTTGGGTCACAAAAATCTATCTTGAATGATATTTTATGTAGACTATAATTGGGGTGTGATTTTCACCCTCAATTTCCTTTTCTTTATCATTTTTAAGAATAACCCGTAATTTGTTTGTGAAGTAAAGTATTAGTCCTTTGTATATCAACTAATAGTGGGTGGAAAATCCAAACTTGCGCAGGAATGCAGTTAAAGTGAGAGGATATTTTGCTTGGTCATTGTTGGACAACTTTGAGTGGGGCTCTGGATATACTGTTCGTTTTGGCATAAACTATGTTGACTACAAAGATGGACTGAGACGATACCCCAAGCATTCTGCTAAATGGTTCAAGAATTTCCTTCATAGATAAAACAGTTCCTGTACCTTTTATAGAACTTTTCCTCTTTAGTTTCATTTCCCTCCCATTGTCCTTAGGCTACAGAACTTGTTCAAATCTGTTCTTTGCAAGGACTTGGTTGGAATGAATTACTAATTCTGATTATAATGAATTTTTTCCTCAATGATACAAAATGATTGAACTTAGGAATATAATGCCTTCTCTGAAGGCAGAATAAGAATCCATCTAAGTAAACATAATGGTAGTCTAACTACTGCAATGTCTCCTATAGTATGTTCTGCAGCTTCAACATTATTTACTACTTGATTTGGTTCATTACAAACATGTAGCAAGTTATTGATGTCACAATTCACAAGACTTCCACAGGAGTCTGATGTCTTCAATCAACAGCTAGATCGTACTCAGAGTTTGATCTAGAAGAAGGTTTTATTTCGTTTGATCTCCAAGTATGTTATGGTCCTTTCATTTATTTGTTGTTTATATGTTAGTACTTTTTTGGTAGGAGGGGCTGGTGGGTGTTCAATCTGTTCATCATAATCTCTGTTATATCTTTATATGTAGTTAAAGCTTAGTCTTGAATTTCGAGTTGAATCTCTGTTAATTGGTTAAAATGGAATTATGCTGCTTTTACCATCAGTTCTGCAGCTAATTGTTTCCTGAGGTTTTCTATATCTTATTCAATGTTGTTTTTCTTTTTGTATTTGCATACAATATTTTCGAGTGCCATGATTATTAATATTGAACTCTATACGATGGATAAGGTGATGGCTAAAGTAAGTACAATTTGTTTTTTAACTCCTGTATGGCTGTACCTCTAGAAAAGGGAACTGAGGGTACTCTGATTGACTGACAGACATTATTACAATTAAGAAGGTATAAAGCTAGTTTTAAATCATAAAAGAAATCATATGACAATATCTTCAAATTTCATCATAATCATACTCTTACTCATCAAGGTTTGAAAGATTTCCAGGATTGCTATGCATGTCAAGACTGATTTTTTTTTGAGCGATGAAGCTATGAATAATAGGAGGATTGACATTCATTATGTTTGTAAGGCAGCATACATTGCCTCTGCCTTTTTCTTGCTAACATTAGGAATGATCTTGTGTACAATACTTGGTACTTTCAGTGCAAAAATTTATGAGAATTACTATTTAATTATTTATTGTATATTTAACAATTTGACATTCTGTTATCCATTCCATTAATTGAGTTATAGGTGCAATGTTGTAAGTGGTAGCTAACTGTATTCTGAATTTCTGACCCGTATCGTTTTTCTATGTAGTTTTTTGCTTGTCAAGAATGATAATGTGATGATTTACTGCTTGCAGATCATCTTACTTAAATTTTGAAGCGTCTAAGTGTCTTGAAGATGTAACTATGCAAATGCAGGTGAGTAAATGATTCCTAGTTCTTTGCATTGCCTTAAATCATGCTATTTAATGTGGTTTTGTTCATTTCTGCCTATTCCTTTTGCTTGGTCATGTGAATGGCTTTGCTTATATTTGTTAGTTTTATGGTAGTTGATTGCTGCTTTGGTTCCCTTCCCTGGTTTTTCATTGTTACTCTGAATCTTTTTAGCACCTTTATGATGATCTTGCCCTATGTTTGCATGTCATTCAGATGTTTTAATTACAATACCTTTATGTTTTATTTGCGGTATTTAAATGCTATGTATTTCTGTTTCTTTTAAGCATCCCCCGCATCATAAAAATTGCTCAAATTCTGGGAAATGGATATCAATTTCAGAATTTTCCTCATCTTAGACATACAAGTTTTCACATTCATTATATAGAATAGCGAGAATAAACTTAATTACTACCTGATACAGTTCAAAAACTAACTCAGAGATGGTTTTCATTGTAGAAGCTACTGATACATGGTAAGAACTAGTGTAACAAAATAAATATGAAAAATAAAAACAGGTGATTAACCTCGATAATTTAGGGTCTTAAGGTTGAGTGGTAACTGTAAACGAGGTAGGACATGGTGGGCTAGCTACTTCGGCAACACCCTCAAACATCTGTATAACCCTTTTCATTGTAGGTCGGATGCTTGGGTCTTCCTGGATACACCAAAGGGCAACCATTATGTACCTCTCTAGATTTAGCTTGTCATGAAGTGCTTCTATGTCATCATTAACAAGGTTATCTAATGTGTTAGATTGATAGCAATCAAATGCCCAATCTGTCAGAATAGCTCCCTCCCCACTGATATCCATGCACACGTTTCTTCGACAACATATGGTTTCTAGCAACAAAACCCCAAAGCTGTACACATCCACCTTTACTGTAACTGGCTTGTTTCTGAACCATTCAGGGGCAAGGTATCCTTTTGTTCCCCGGACTGCTGTATTTGTGTAGCTCTGGTTTAAAACCAAAAGCTTTGCCAATCCAAAGTCAGAAATGCGGGCATGATAGTATTCATCAAGAAGTATATTCTGCGGCTTTATATCACAGTGGATTATCTGCGTGCAGCATTCCTCGTGCAAATACAAGAGCCCCCTGGCAATTCCTTGCACAATTTGCATCCTTGCAGTCCAGCTTGGCCTCAAATTACCAAAAAGATAATCTGCCACGGTACCATTACTCATATATTCATATACCAGTAATCGCTGGTCTTCTTCCTTGCAAAATCCTATAAATCGAACTAGATTCTTGTGATGAGTCTGACCAATCACATTCACTTCAGCTTTAAATTCCTTATCAGGCTCCTTAGATATTCGATCTAACTTTTTAACAGCAACTGTAAAAGGAGAATTTCCTTCTCCGATCTTCCCTTTGTATACTGTGCCAAAAGCTCCTCGTCCTACCTCTTCCCTGAACCCATCTGTTGCATCTTCAAGCTCTTTGTAGCTGAAGCAATGAACACTACTGTATTCACTTAGAGTTTTATTCCTATGATGCTCATCAAGCGACCTAGGATTCTTCTTGTTATACATGAGGAAAATTCCCAAAACTATAGCACTTAGCAGAAGGAAATTTATGCATACAGAACTGCCAAACAGTGCACTGGATACAGCATTCTTCTTGTATATTACTTTATCTTGATGAATAGGGTTGATTGGGTCGTTGGAACCATTGATATTCCCCACCTTAAGCCAACCTATCCTATTAACTCCACTATCTTCTCTTCCATGGGTGAGTGGCAGCTTCTTCTTCCAACAAGTTTGATCTTGTTCATTGAAAATGGCAGCAGCGCAAAAACAATCATTTTGACAATTACTCTGGCATTCTTCTTTACTGCAAGGCTTAAGCTGTGCATAGTCTGCTAATGGCCAATCAATATTTACAAGCCGAACTAGCGTATATTCATCCTTGATAGCACTCTTACCGTACTCATCACAATTGTCTTGCTTGAAATCTGGCTTGCAGCTGCCATATGTATCATTGGGATCCAGAAGAGAGTAATTTGGTGGGCATCGACATTTTGGCCTCTGATCCCCATCACCAAGGCTGCAAATGCTGTTATATCCACAAGCTCCGGTGTCAAGTACCCCGGAAAGTGTTGTGCATATGTTGTCAGGGAGTGACTTAACACTGGACCAACTGACACCTTTGTTTGCTGCAAAGGATTTCGGGTGATAATACCAGCTCAAGACACCATCAAACCCCAGTGTTACTCTCTGATAGTTAGTCTGAGCTGAAACTAACTTATCTGCTGGTGTGAGATCAAACCTTGTATTATTTTTTATCTGTATGTACAAATCCCCTGACTTGTTGTAAATCACTCTGTCACCAGCATTTTTCGGGTTTCCATTGCCATTAGTGTTACTAGCATAGTAAGGATCATAGGCATAACCTGTTGCTAGGTCCCTTGTATTTAGGACAAGGTTTCCATCACTTTGTAAGCGAAGTTGGAACCTCCCTTGAGTGAAATTTGTTTCTGATCGTCGAGAATTAAGCTGGCCTCCCGCTTGCAAAATCTGGGTAGGGAGCAAAGTATCGGTAGGATTGTCAAAGCTCTGCCAAACTGCATCGTCAGTTTCACTATTAAGCACAAAATTTCCGGTATCATTCATAAAACCATAATTAATTGCTCCCCCGCTTTTCTTTGCATCAGTGGTACTCCATAGAGAAGTTCCTTGAGGGTTACTAAGGACTAGACCCTCATTGGCTGTTATTTTTACTGATGATCCCTGGCTAACGGGGTTACCATTATTTGCATACCAAACTATGGTGTCTTGAATCTTAGCGTACCAGATGGCAAGCAAGAAGAGATCATTGTTTTTAGGAAATTGATGAAAGCCAAAGGCAAAATCACCTGAAGGGGAAAGCAATGGAGAACCATCGCCAGTGGCTCTGAGAGATTGGCCTACTGTTAATTTGCCACCATTTTGTGCAGCAACGGATGATAATTGTAGGAGAATAAATGTAAAGAAGGCGGTTAGGATACATGATCGAGGCCAAGCCATTGTTACAAATTTTTCACATAAGAGATGGATGATTTTTTCTCAAGTGTGATCCTGAAGAATTAGTGGCCTATATTCTCCTATGGTGACTTGGAAGACTTTTCTAATCATAAGTCAACTAAAGTCTTCCTAGTGAAATCTTTGAAACAGACTGTCATAATTCCTGTCCCATTTGGTATTGAATTCTGAGCTGTTCTACGGTCCAACTCAATTATGGCATGATTTTCTCACTTGTCTTTTTATACATAGATTTGAACTAGTTGCCGTAATGCTTAACGATACTGTACATACACTCGTACAGTTAGTTTATATACCTTGTCATTCCATGGGGCGGACCTGTATCTTATCTCATGACTAAATACTGATACTTGGATACGATCCTTAAAATATACGGGCAACAAGAAAGACTTAGCAAACTATCTAGATACATCCACGCCGAATACTTTTCAAGAGTCCAATGGTTAGTAACCCAATGTGGGAGCAATGACTTTTCTTTTGCCAGTGTTGGTTGTCCTCTTTCCTGAGGTGATATGTCTGAAGTAGGAATTTCTCATTGCTATGCGCTAATTTTCAATGCTTTTACTATTCGGTGGATGATTCATAGGGTTAATTGTATTGTACGTGTTGTATGCGGACTTTTTTTTATGACTTGACCAAGTCTTCCATACATCATGTTGGTCATGTGGTTAAAAGGGTGTGTGCAAGATGTGGTATTCTATTCTGGTAATCTCGGAATTTTCTAAATCACCTAAACAAATTCATGTATGATACGAAATGAATTGGAGAGCGTACATGTTGGTTTCAAGAAAAACTGAGTCTTCTTTCAATTGTCTTCTTATTTGAGCTTCTTGAGACAAATATTTGGTTAGCATTACAAGACATGACTAAAAAAAAAAAAAGTATGGTTCATGCTTGTCTGATAATTCTGAAGAGTTTTCATGTTGCTGTCAACTGATGACTGATGAGACTTCTGAACACTTAAAAACTTCCTTGTTACTGCAAATCCTATAATCTTATATTAGAAAAATAGAAGATACATGGAATCCTACAGTAAATATAGTTTGAACAGCTAATACAAAACATTCATTTCAAAATAATTTGAAGTAAGATTTTACCTGTTTTATTCTGATTACCCGGTGATCCTAATTTGTCTGGTGTAAAGATGGACCAGAGATCATGATCCTTTTCCTTTCAGTTCTTTAAAGTTTAAAGTACTCATGCTACAAACATTGTTAAATTGTGTAAACCACATTCCTATATGCTGTTATGTGTATGCTTCAAAATTTCTGATGATTTTAATCTGATTACAGGAAATGTGGCTTTGATGAGGAAGCCTAGAAGAGTTCAAACTTTTTACTAGTACTAGTAGTAACATAACAGATTAGCTAAGATAGCATGAATGGAACTGATTTTATATCTTTGCTAACTATTATGCACTTATTGATCCTTTTTCTTGAGTTGTGCATTTTAAAATGGAATTTCATCGTGTAATGCACGACTCCTTCTAACCTTTGGTGCTGATTAACTCTTTGGTTCAGATGGTGCAAATGCGGAGATGCCAGCCTGTGTATGCTCGACATGAAGCAGAAATCAGTACTCGTATTTTATCTGAAGAACCTTCATATCAGTATAGCTCTGTTTCGCTGGAATGTCTGTTGCTCGTAAGTCCTCTAGAAACTTTCATGATTTACTTTAGTAAACTGATCGCAGATAAGGAAATTACTTATGGCAGAAAGATAAAAAGAGAACTTCCCTGCATATATTGGTTTACAACCATCATATTACCTTGTAATTGTTTGATAAACTAGGTGCTATTAGTAGAGTTTAATTATATATATGTTTATCAATTTTTAAAATGAAACTAACAAAACTTAGTTAGGCTACCCATTTATTGCTAAATGGGAACAAGTTTTTATTTTTTAGGTCAATCATTAATTTTTACTAATTTGGAAATATATTTTTATGAGAATACTTGAACACAAATCTTTTTTAATATAAAATCACTAAAAAAATACATGCCTATGACATAGTATTTCACTACACACTAAATTAATAGACTGATCTTTTTATTCCCCTAAAAACTGATGGCTGCAAATTACCAGCAGAGCACCAAATGAAAGTAAATCAAAATGAAAAACATATATTCATTCAACTAATTTAATTTTGGGTAGTTATTGAAATTGAAGATGGAGGAGGATTAATAGGAACTTCAACAAGACCATCTAACATTGTGTGACTGTTCGCATTGTTGGTCGTAAACTTGGATCTTCTTGGATACACCAATACCATTACCAGCCTCTTCAATCGTAGCATATCATTAAGAGCTTCCTTATCATCATTAACTAGCACATCTAACCTGTTAGATTGATAGCAATCAAATGCCCAATCTGTCAAAATTGCACCTTCTTCCTCTATGAGTTCCATGCATATACTTTTTCGACAACATATGATTTCCAATAGCAGAACCCCATAGCTATAGACATCTACCTTCACCGTGACTGGCTTGTGTCTAAACCATTCGGGAGCAACATAGCCTTTGGTCCCTCTAATTCCTGTGTTTGTATGGGTTTGGTTTAGAGCCAAAAGCTTAGTCAACCCAAAATCAGAAATACAAGCATTCTGATGTTCATCTAAAAGTATGTTCTGGGGCTTTATATCACAGTGAATGATCTGGGTGCTGCACTCCTCGTGCAAGTACAATAGCCCCCTTGCTAACCCCTGAGCTATGTTAACTCTGTCTGTCCAGCTTGGCCTCAGATCGCCGAAAAGGTAATCTGCTAAGCTACCATTGCTCATGTATTCATATACTAACAACCTTTGATCATCCTCCTTGAAAAATCCTACAAGTTGTACTAGATTTTTGTGATGTGTCTGGCCTATCACATTGACTTCAGTTGTGAACTCCTTATTAGTATCACCTGTTATTTGATCTAACTTCTTTACTGCAACACAAATTGGAGGACCTCCTCCACTGACCATGCCCTTGTAAACTATACCGAAAGCCCCTCTTCCCAACCCTTCCTTGAATCCGTTTGTTGCCTCATGGAGTTCTTGGTAGCTGAAACGATTGACATTACTGTACTCCTTCAGTGGTTGTCTCTGACCCTCATCTAACACTTTCAGTTTCCTCTTATGATAGATGAAAATTCCCAACCCAATGGCACTTAGAAAAAGTAAATTTAAAGATGTGAATCCTCCTAAGTCCTAACAGAACTTTAGTTAGAAAATTCACCCTATGTTTTTTCTTTGAAGGGGAGATCGGAACAATTGGGTTGATTGGGTCATTGGGATTGGTAACATTTGCTACCTTCATCCAAGTTGTTCCAAGTACTGTGGGTTCTTTTATTCCATTGGACAGTGGCGCTTTCTTTTTCCAACAACCAGGATTTTCGTCATCTTGGAAAATGGCAGCAGCACAAAAGCAGTCATTCAAGCAAGATTTCTTACAATCATCTTGGTTGGAAGGATTAAGCCTTTCTTAATCATTGAATGGCCAATCAGTAGTTGGAAGGTGAACTAATATGTACTCACCTATCGCAGAACGCTCTGCATATCCTTCACAAGCATTTGTGAAATTGGGTTTACAACTGCCATAATCATTGTAGTGAACATACACCCGACCGAGAGTAACACAATAATGGGTCAAAACTTAAGAAAATGTGATAATAACACCCAATTTTTTTTGATAGAAACCAAAGAATGGGTATTAATCTTTATTTTGACACTTTTTTTTTCCAAAAAATATTTTTGTGAGCCCCAAAAAATGGAAAATACGGGAAAAAAGGCGGTAATTGGAAAAACGTGAAAAGTTGCTGAAACATCCCCAGAACATGGGAAAAAGGTTTGGAATGATAGGGGGATGTAATTTTGACACTTTGTTATATCCCATATTACCCTTACTGCTCATTTTTCGAGATTGTTTATACCGGGAATGTGCCAATAGACCCCAGGACATGGTGATTGAGGGACAATTTGTGTGTAATTGGTGATGGAATATGAGATGAGATGTGATACTTAGATTACAAACATGAATAGTACTAGTATGATGGTTCCATAAAAGTATTATTACTATCCATAGTCTATCAATCGACACATCAATCAACACACATGTGAATAGTAGTATGACTATCCATAGTTACATGATATATAACATGTGTTCTTTTCCAATTTCAAATCATAGTGTGAATTCACATTACATCATTATAAATATAATTACATAATATGACATCATTACATTCATATGGCATCATTATTGTCAAATCACATCACTTCAATATACTTAAATGACATCATTATATTCATATGACATCATTAATGTCAAGTAATATCACTTCCATCATTATTATAAGACATCATTATGGTCAAGTCACATCACTTCAATGTACTTTTATGACATCATCATATTCATATGACATCATTATTGTCAAGTAATATCACTTCAATATACTTGTATGACATTATTATATTCCAAAATTTTAAAGTAGAAACATAACTCATTCTTAGTACTTTATAGACATCTTTATAAATGTGTTGTGGTTTCAAACCAGCTTATATGACCTCGGGAGTCATCCCGCGTATTCAGTTCACTTTTCGAAAAAAATGTCAAAAAATGACCCGAAATCAACCTCCGAAATTGGCCAAAAAGTGTGTATTATAGCCTTCAATTTTGCCAATTTTTGACTTTTTTTTACCCGGAAATAAAAATTGACGAGAAGCTACCTATAGGCCCTAATACCCTCCGGGAGTCCAATTGGGAGGGTTAAACCATCCAATTTGCCTTTAAGCATCCAATTTACCAGTTTCCGTACACGTCACTTGTATCAATTTTTCACTTTTTTAGACCTGGAAATAAAAATTGCCGAGATGCTTCCCATGGACCCTAATACACCTCGGGAGTCCATTTGGGTGGGTAAAACCATCCGATATACCTTCAAACTGTTAATTTACCCGTTTTCAACTTGCACCGATTTCTTAAACTCGAGGCTACCACGGACATTTATGGCAACATATAATGATCATTTATGGTTCCAAACGACATTATATGACCTTGGGATGTATCCCCTAATATATCGAGACTTTCCGACACCGGGTCCCAAAACCTCCGAAATTGGCCAAAAAGCGTGTATTATATAGCCTTCAATTTTGCCAATTTTTGACTTTTTTTTACCCGGAAATAAAAATTGGCGAGAAGCTACCTATAGGCCCTAATACCCTCCGGGAGTCCAATTGGGAGGGTTAAACCATCCAATTTGCCTTTAAGCATCCAATTTACCAGTTTCCGTACACGCCACTTGTATTGGCTATAAGCTTTTACGGGGCCTTTATGTAGCCGACTTATGGTTGTATATGGGTCCAAACAACATCATATGACCTCGGGATGCATCCCGTAAAATTCCGTGGATTTCTGACACCGGGTCCGGACACCTACTAAATTGCTCCGATTTCGTGTATTTATAGCCTTCAAATTTGGCTTCCGTACATCATTTTTTCACCAGACAAGATTATGCATCTAAGTACTTTCATGGGTTCCCAAAGGGCCTTGGGAGTCATGGATGATGCCCAAAACCATCTAATTCATCCTTCACAACCATCTGGAAATTGGGTTTACAACTGCCATAATCATTGTAGTGAACACCCGACCGAGAGTAACACAATAATGGGTCCAAACTTAAGAAAATGTGATAATAACACCCAATTTTTTTTTGATAGAATCCAAAGAATGGGTATTAATCTTGATTTTGACACTTTTTTTTTCCAAAAAATATTTTTGTGGGCCCCAAAAATGGAAAACACGGGAAAAAAGGCGGTAATTGGAAAAACGGGAAAAGTTGCTGAAACTGCCCAGAACATGGGAAAAAGGTTTGGAATGGTAGGGGGATGTAATTTTGACACTTTGTTACATCCCTTATTACCCTTACTGCTCATTTTTCGAGGTTGATTATACCGGGAATGTGCCAATAGACCCTGAGACATAGTGATTGAGGGACAATTTGTGTGTAATTGGTGATGGAATATGAGATGAGATGTGATACTTAGATTACAAACATAAATAGTACTAGTATGATGGTTCCATAAAAGTATTATTACTATCCATAGTCTATCAATCGACACATCAATCAACACACATGTGAATAGTAGTATGACTATCCATAGTTACATGATATATAACATGTGTTCTTTTCCAATTTCAAATCATAGTGTGAATTCACATTACATCATTATAAATATAATTACATAATATGACATCATTACATTCATATGGCATCATTATTGTCAAATCACATCACTTCAATATACTTAAATGACATCATTATATTCATATGACATCATTAATGTCAAGTAATATCACTTCCATCATTATTATAAGACATCATTATGGTCAAGTCACATCACTTCAATGTACTTTTATGACATCATCATATTCATATGACATCATTATTGTCAAGTAATATCACTTCAATATACTTGTATGACATTATTATATTCCAAAATTTTAAAATAGAAACATAACTCATTCTTAGTACTTTATAGACATCTTTATAAATGTGTTGTGGTTTCAAACCAGCTTATATGACCTCGGGAGTCATCCGCATATTCAGTTCACTTTTCGAAAAAAATGTTAAAAAATGACCCGAAATCGTGTATTATAGCCTTCAATTTTGGACAATTTTTCACTTTTTTAGACCCGGAAATAAAAATTGCCGAGATGCTTCCCATAGACCCTAATACACCCCGGGAGTCCATTTGGGTGGGTAAAACCATCCGATATACCTTCAAACTGTCAATTTTCAACCAAGCACGATGACCAATTGTGTGAATCAACGGTTCCTCTCGTTCTAGGTTGAATTACCATTGCAATACCGTCATAAGTAAGGTAAAACTAACCGTTCTCACGAAGGTCTAAACCTAGCTCACGTTCCCTTGAACCATTCTTTCTTAAGATAAACATATACCCGGACTCATTGTAGACCAATGTCTCACCTGCAATTTTCGGGTTTTCATTTGTGCCACTAGTGTAGTAAGCACCATAGGCAAAGCCGGTTGTTAGATCCCTGGTATTGAGAACAAGGTTTCCGTCAGGGATCAAACGTAACTGGAACCTCCACTTTGCGAAATTAGTTTGTGATAGCTGAGAGTTAACCTTCACTTCTACTTTCAGCTGCTGAGAAGGCAGTAAGTTGTCTGTGGGATTGTCAAAGCTCTGCCAAACTGTCTCGTTGTTGTTGCTTCCTTTTAGGACAAAATTCCCGGTATCATACAGAAAGCCATAGCTTACCTCACCACCATCACTTAACTTATCAGAGGTGCTCCATAAGTTGATTCCATTAGGATTACTGAGAACTAGTCCCTCATTAGCTGTAATCTTGACTGATGATCCTTGAGGAACAGGATCACCATCATTTGCATACCAAACTATGGTGCTGGGAATCTTGGCATACCAGATAGCAAACAAGAAGAGATTGCTGCTGTTAGGAAGTTTGGAAAAGCCGAAAGCAAAATCACCCGAAGGAGAAAGCCATGGAGAATCATTGGCAGTGGCTGTCAGAGGTCGACCGACTGGTATGCTTTTATTTTGGGCAGAAATAGATGATGATTGTGTAAGGATTATTAGTGTTGCTAACAAGATGGTGCTGGAAAGAAGCCAGGCTATTGCTTAGAGACGTATGTGCAGCAAACTAGATGAATTTTGGGTCTTTATCATGAGGGAAAACTGTCCCAAGGACTTAAATTCGAAAGCATAGTACACTTGAAGTGTTGACCATTCTAATTTTCAGACTGAATAGCTAAAGGAAGGACTCAATTTTCTAGGGCCTTTGAAAACCTTGTTTGAACCGCTACAATAATTGTTTGAAAAAAATTACTTTTCAGGCTTTCAGCTTTGAAGTAGTAGGAAAATAGGAAGAAATTACTTGAGAAATTTCTCACGGTACTATTATACTACCTGTATTTTATGTCAAATCATTGCAAATAATTTGAAACGAAGGTGGTACATAGACTTGGGTTAAACCCCTCCTATATCAGGTTCAACTCAAGTGTCTCCCCTGCTGCCCATGTATATAGCCCTCCTCCCCTACCACTTGAAGCGTTTATAACAACATTAGATATTAAGCAGTACTTATTACTTAATATGCATATATTTAGTACCACTATATATATGTGGTATTATTTGATTACCCAATGGTATTACTCTAAATTCAAGATACGTATTTGCCCATGCATATGTATAATCACGTATATACTTCCCGTTATGTATGAGAACATACACAAAGGTTATCAGTCCCTTTGAAAACATGTATGAGAACATACACAAAGGTTATCAGTCCCTTTGAAACAGCTCGACGTCTGATATCTTCATTGTAGTTTGAAAATGCCCTTGTAGTGTCTGATAGGCTGGTGGGTGGTCATCATAGTGTCCATAATAGGCAATTGAAAGCTAAGCTAGTGATCTTAAGTGGAGTTTTTATGATGTTGCTAGAAATAGGAAACACTGCTTTCAGCATTAGTTTAGCAGCTGAGTGATTCCTGCTGCTTTCTGTCTTTCCTTCAAGCTTGGATTTTCTTTCTATACTTGCATACAATAATTCAAGTTATGCACATATATATATTCTACGTACTTAATAGTGGGTAAAATTTGAGCACCTAACTTGTTAAAATACGAAGTATGTACTATAATTGTTCTTGTTTCACTTTTACAGGACAATTCCTTATGACAATTCAGGTTAGCTGAGCCTAAATTTAGATGGAGATAGCGGTATTTACACTTAAAAAACTCAAACTATGTGATTATACCATGTGCTTTTTTTATTTGTTTTTTTTTTTTTGGGAATTTGGTGCTCTCTAATTTTAGTGGGTGATTAGCACATGGTTCATCATTATAATCATTTAACTACATTTTAAAGTCTTTAATTACTGTTTTTAATGCGGTTTTCTTGGTGCTTCACTTCCAAATAGGATTTCAGTGGAATTTATTGTCTAAAAATGATTAATAAATTTACAAAATCATGATTATATTCTATACAAATTTCATTGGCAATTTTCTTAAATTTAAATTGTTTTTCTATTCTAGAAGTTTGATCAATTCTCTTTGTAAAAGTGACTTACAATTAATCACATCATAAGATAAGGTTTAAGGACATGTTTTTTTTCTTATAACTTATTAATTTGTATATTGAGATTGTCAAAATGGGAGGGTTTATTATAATCCTCCAATTTATTTCAACAAATAATATTATACAACATCTATTTGTTGTTACGGAGTAATACATAATGTTTAATTTAAAAAATAAAACACAAGTAAAATTTGAAGAGTGGATTGAAGAGTCCATTCTTTTTTATCACCCCTAAATGCCTTCCTAACTTTTTCTAGAAACACCAAAAACGCCCCTAGGCCTGCCGGTTCTACATCAACATAACAGAAATTTTTCCAGCAATCCTTAACGTATGAAAGAGTACAATTGTACAGCAATTAAGGGGACAAAATACATGCAAAAAGCATAAAGGCTCCTTTATACAAGAAAAATAAGGCAGAAATAAGGTGATATGTATGTCACTTTAAAATTTGTTATAAGTCAAGGTGTGGTATGCATTTTCAATGCTAGTATCCTTGCAACAGTTGCATTTCTTTGGCCTGAATATGCTCTACCTTTACTGCATATACCTGTATAAAAGATAACATTAGCAAAGAGAATGAGACAGTTTTTTTTTCTAATGAAAATAATCATGACTATGAAAGTTCAAACCAATGTCTTCCTAGTCCTACTATCATTACTCCTTTTTATGCTTGGAAACTCCATTGGTTGTCGTGAGATCAATAATGTTGTTCGAGCTGATTATGGGATCAATTTACTCAATAGAAGCAGTTTTTCTGCAGGTTTTCTTTTTGGGACAGCTTCATCAGCATATCAGGTGATTTAGAAGTTTAGGATTTAGTTATTTTGTATATAGAATTTATTTATATTACACCAACATTAAGTTGTAAAAATGCTGGCAAAGAAAAAATAGTTGTCTTAATTAAGAGAGATTGATTTTCGTTAACAGTATGAAGGTGCAGCTCATGAAGATGGTAGAGGTTCAAGTATATGGGACACTTATACTCAAAAATATCCAGGTTCTTGATCTACCTCATGCCCCATGAACTCTTGAAATATTTGGTATTATGTTAATGGTTTACACATTTAATTAGTCACCTACACCAAGTAAAATCAAATTCTCAAGTTCTTTTACATGCATCAAATCTTTTTTTTTTTTTTTTTAATGAATGTTTCTGTAAGTTGTTAGGATTGTAGAATGATTAACCCTAGATAATTTATAATCTCAAATCTTGTTTGTTCATGACATTACTTGTGCAGATAAGATTAAAGATCGAAGTAATGGTGATGTGGCAATAGACTCATACCATCGTATAAGGTAATAGACTCAACTGTTGCTCAACTAATTAAAACTCCTTTGTTAATATAACATGCTCTATTTATTAACCGTGTTAATCATTTCGTAGGAGGATGTGAAGCTCATGAAGAAAATGGGATTAGATGCCTACAGATTTTCAATTTCTTGGTCAAGGATATTGCCATGCATGTTTTAATACCCTTGTCTTAATTTGATTTCCAAAGCATGTGTTTTCTTCATTTCGACAGCCTTGTCTGATGAGCCAAATGAACTGATGATTGAACAGATGGGAAACTACACAAAGGCGTGAACCAGAAAGGATTAGCATACTATCACAACCTTATAGATGAACTAATAGTGAATGGTAAAAGATTCAAATCTCGTTCTTCTATAATAACTATCTTATTATTTCGTGATTTGTGATTCATTTATTACTAATAGTGAATGGTAAATGAACTGAAGTGAACTGAGCTAATTGGAGCTGAACTAAACTGAACTGAATAGGGCTTAAATGAATATTTTTATGAGAGAGTTGTATTGGCAGGTATTAAACCCTTTGTGACTCTCTTTCATTGGGATCTCCCGCAAGCGTTGGAAGCTGAGTATGGTGGTTTCCTCAGTCCTTACATTGTGTAAGTCATCTTTCTGAGATATTGAAAAGATTGATTTCTATATATGATAAAGATCCCTTTTTTTTATTGGAAGCATAATAATATTCAATAAAAATGAAACTTGTGTTGAAACTTAGTGCAAGTGTTCAATAGGCTGGGTTTGGGCTGCCATTTCCTGGTCTTTTGCTGGGTTTGGCACTACCAGATTACCTCTTCAGACCATTTTTTACTTGGGCTCTGTCAGCTTGGACTCATATGCCAATTTATTTATCCGACCTGAGACAAAAAGGGCCCAATCATTTCTCAGCGCCTTGGCCTTTATTATAAGCATTTCTCATATTTTGCCTATAAAAGTTTTAATTTAGAGTAAAACATGTCCTGTTTGTTAAAATGTTGCAGGGATGATTTTAGGGATTATGCAAATATTTGCTTCAAAGAATTTGGTGATAAAGTGAAACATTGGATCACATTGAATGAACCCTGGTCCTATATTTATGGTGGATATGCTAGTGGAAGATTGGCTCCTGGTCGGTGTTCAAAGTGGCAGCAGCTTAACTGTACTGGCGGAGATTCAGCCACTGAGCCATACTTGGTTTCTCACCACCAGCTTCTTGCTCATGCAGCAGCAGTTGACTTGTATAGGCGTAAATATAAGGTTTATAAACTATAATGACTCGTGACTAAATCCTTGCCTATATATATACTTGTATGATTTCTGTATATAAAACATGCAATACTTACTTTTGACATGTAAAACGATGCAATTACACAACACATATAGACCAGCCCATGAATTGGGCTAGTTATTTCATGGACTAGTCGCGGTTCCTCCTCCCTACCCAGTCCATAGACCATCTCTAATCATGTATGACCATCATGTGAATTCAGGATTTCCTCTGACTACCCTGTTATATTCCTAGGCATCTCAGCAGGGCATACTTGGTATCAGTCTAGTGACGAATTGGTTTGTTCCACTCTCAAAAATACAGCACCATAAGTTTGCTGCTATGAGAGCGCTTGACTTCATGCTTGGATGGTGAGCTTACTGAGCTATGCATATATTATATAAATTTGTATCAATTTCTGAAATTTTTGCAGCCAGAGTTCCTAATACCCCTTTGTCTGTTATCGTGTCCCATTGCACTTCATGATATATACGACCTTTAAGATTAATGTTTGATAGAAACAAGTTCTTATATATTAAAGGTTGCAAACAGGTTTATGGATCCAATAACCAAAGGTGAATATCCACATTCCATGCGCTCCCTTGTAAGAGGCCGATTGCCTGAATTTTCTGCAGAGCAGTCAAGGATGTTGAATGGTTCATATGATTTTCTAGGCTTAAATTATTACAGTAGTCGTTATGCAGCTTATTCTCCTGGTTTGAAGCATGCAAAACTCAGTTACACAACTGATGCTAATGTCAGACAAACAGGTATGTTTATAAATTATTTTGATGTGCTTCCCACAATATATAAAAGTAAATATGTACGATGTATAGCACAGCATATTTTCACTTTAAGATTCAACTGTTGATGTGTACTCATGAATTTCACTTTGGTTTTTATTAAACATTGCTTGATTTATCGCAGTTGAGCGAAAGGGAATCCCAATTGGTCCAAAGGTATTCAAGTGATTCCTCTGTACCACAAGAATTTTATTCTGTGAATGATTTATGCTGTACATCTTTTTTTATGCTATTAATAATTTCCTCAGCTAAAATCGGTGGTAACTTCCTTGTATCTTCTTGTCCTCTAATTCTGCAGGCGGCTTCAGATTGGCTGTATGTTTATCCACAAGGAATTCGATATCTTTTAGTCCATATAAAGAGAAGATACAACAACCCTTTGATCTATATAACAGAAAATGGCAAGTTTACCACTAAATTTTAGAAATTTTGTTTATATGACTTTACAATACAACGCATTCTCACTCAGAATTTTGACTACTTATGTCTGTAGGTGTTGACGAGGTTAACAATGGCACATTGTCACTCAAGGAAGCACTTAGAGATGAAATGAGGGTCCGATACTACCATGATCATCTAGCTTTCTTACACCTTGCAATCAAGTAATCATACTCTACAAACTCACTTAATTTTCTTTCATTTTATTTTGGGCAGTCTTTTATTACATACCTATGATGGTATAAATCTAAATCTTTTTAGTCATCGAGTGGATGGACTTGAATAGTGGTGATCAAGTCCCCTGAGCCTTCTTTTGAAGGTGGTTCGGCACAATTGGTCTCCGTTTGTTCTATCTTTTATGCTATGTTTGGGCTAGGATGGTTAATTAACTGTGAATACCTCGAAAGTTAATTGTTGCAAAAATGTATTTTTCTTTCTAGATTTTGATGATTGTATTGGTTTTGGCTTGCAGGGAAGGTGTAAATGTGAAGGGCTATTTTGCATGGTCATTGCTGGATAACTTTGAATGGAGTTCTGGTTATACTGTTCGATTTGGGATCAACTATGTTGACTACAAAGATGGATTAAAAAGATACCCTAAACTTTCTGCTTTCTGGTTTAAGAAGTTCCTGCGAAACAGGAAATAATATTGCACTCTTTGAAAGATAGTTAAATAAACTCTGAAGTCATATTCCTGAATCCTGATATTTATATATATGGTACATGATTATGATTTTTATGTGATCATAACCATGCAAATATATATGGAGACTAAAGTGTATCAAATTGCTCCTATTATGTATCATTGTATGTTATATTGAATTCCATATCATATTCTAGATTCGTATACAACGACACTAATATGATTTGAGCCTGTTATACAGTTGGTCGGTTGCTTATTATAAATTCACATAGCAGACGGCTTATTATTAATAAAGACCCGAGCATTACATGGCTTAAATCTAGTCTAATATCAATTTATCATACACATGCAACTTAAGGCGACTAGCTTCCCTCCGTGCAAAAAAGATCGCCTTCTATAGACTTTTGAGGTCTGATTTCTTAAACATTGGCAATTGATGTTACTCATCAGGTGCAGAAATCTCCATCTTAACTGCTTGGACTTAATGAATTAGATAGAAGAATATATGTGTGAAAAATATTTGGTAGAAGTTGCATTGTTTGGTTTGCTTTAAACGACTTTCAAAATTGGTAATTGTTCAAAAGCTTTCTATTTCTTCTTTCTGTGTCTACTTTGAAAGATTAATCATACTAAACAACATGGCCCTTTCCAAGGGTAGCTAGCTGATGAATCTGTTTTGTATACCTCTCACTGAAACGACTTACATCACAATTTCTGATGAACTACTTCAGGATATCCTGCATTAAATGCAACTTGTCATGCTTGTAGTAAAGCATGGACAACATTAATAAAATCCTTGAATCAGGAAGCTCATGATCCAGCTTTACAATGTTGTTTGACTGGAGAGCTTCAATATAAGAAGAATAAACAGCTCCAAACTCCCTAAAAGTATGGCTCTCATACTCCTCCAATTGATACAGGGCCTTTAAATATTCTCTACGATGAGCAGCATCATCGTATTCATCCAATCTTAATATGGATCAAATAAACAAATGATATTAAAATTATTTATATATTAAAAAAATTACGGAAAATTATTTATAAAATAAGAAATTTCGAAAAAAAAAAATTTGACATGACAGGATATTACTCATAATTAACAAATAAAATTATGTGTATTAATAAATTAATTGAAATTTTCATATTAGCATTCCCCTATGAAATAATGCAATGTTAAATAAATTCTTATTTTTTCATATTATAAATAACATATAATATAACTAATATATAAAGCTAAACTTTAACCATGTCACGACATTGCAACACTTGGCAACTAGTCTAATATCAATTTAAAGCTAATATATAAAGCTAAACTAATACACATTCTAGATTTTTATATAAAAATTGTCGAGATACTTACCATGGACCTTATAGACTCCGGGAGCCTATATAGTTTGGGTGCAACCATCCAATATACCTTTAAACGGTCAATTTACCCGTTCGCACCTTGCACCGATTTCGTGAACTCGAGCCTACCACGGACATTTATGACAACAAATAATGGTCATATATGGTTCCAAACGGCATTATATGAACCAGTGATGTATCCTCTAGGATCTAAACACTTTTCGCCACCGGACCCCTTAACCTCAAAATTCCTCAAAAGCGTGGATAACAACCTTTAATTTTGGGATTTATTGAACTTTTTTCGCCCGAAAATAAAAATTACCGAGATGTTTATCATGGTCCCTAATACCACCGGAGCCCATTTGGGTGGGTAAAACCATCCAAATATGCCTTTAAACAGTCAATTTACTCGATCGCACCTTGCACGCATTTCGTGAACTCAAGCCTACCACAGACATTTATGACAACATATAATGGTCATATATGGTTCCAAACGGAATTATATGAC